GATGCTTCCGCTCAAAAGAGTTTCAATTTCCCTCCAAAATTCAAAAGTCAAAGCTTTAAATTTCAAAAGAAGTGCCCCCTTGATCCAAGAGTCAAATCCCTTTAAATTGGAACCTTCCATAATGTCTAAATGCATTAAATCACTCTATGAGGTGCTTAGAACAAGTGTTCCTTTGAAAATTCTCGTAAATTTTGCCACAAACTATCTTAATTTGAAAATGTCGCGCCTGGCGCATCATGTGCCAGCACTCTGGATTTTGGCGCATCATGTACCAAACCCCAAAATAGGTTGTTTTTTGCTCCAAATTTTGCTCCTTTTGTCATTTTTTCTCTAAATGCCTAAAAATGATATACCTGCAAAAAATATAAAAAATACCATTATTTAATGTGCAATATCACCAAAAATAGGTATAAAAAAGGTACTTAAAATAGTATATTATTTTTTTGTATCAAACGCCTAAGCACCAGAGGTTCCAGGCCTAAGCGCCAGGTACCCCGCGCTTAAGCTCCAGAAGTGGTTACTTGATGAATTATATAATTTGGTCAAATTTTTAAAGAAGTGTTTGAAGCAACCCTTGATAAAAATGTGGGAAATAGCTCATGGACACGAAAATTCATTTTAATTAGCTTATGAGGAGGCAACTTCTAGAAGATTCATTGAATGGAGACACCTTTTTGAAGAGACACCAAGACACCCCTTAGATTTTTATAAGAAAAGACTTGGATCATCAAGACAAAGCCGCCAAAGGCCAGCCATCCATCAAACCTTACAGCCCATCGTTGTCGCCGGCCACATTTACTTTATTTTATTTTATTTTGAGTGTTAGTTTGTATTGTGAGAGAAGGAAGAGAATTCAAAGGAACTTCAAGACATTTGGAGGAGAGAATTTGAGATACATTTTTATCTTTGTATCTACACTTGGTTTTAATTTAGACTTCTTATGTGTTTACATGATTTCTGCTTTTAAACTTAAGTGTGGTTGTATTTTCTCCATTAATTCTGTTTGTGTGAAGAATTAGATTTCAATGTTGGAAGAAGTTGTGATGATTTGAAACCTAGCACTTCATTTACTTCTTGATTTGGCCAATTAAGATGTTAATACCTGTTGTGAGAACATGTAAGATCCGAGATGGTATTGTCTCAGTCAACAAATTGTATATTTTCATAATCTGAGCACAGTTGATTTCATGAATGAAAATGTAATTCATGGGGTTGAGTGCAAATAATTAGAGAAATATATTTTAAAGGGTCGACTTTAGAGTGACATGCTAAAGCCCCTAATTTGATTTATAGTTTTAGGTTTTGATACGAGATGTTAGCCCCCAGGTGGAGGGAGAAGATGGAGGGAGAAGAGAAAACTCTAGAGTGAGATCTAGTATCTTCACTGCTTAGCCAGTCTTCAAAACTATTCAAACTACAGATTAACCAATGTTCTTTAAAACATCTCTAAGTAAGGGTAAAAAGTATTAATGCTTCTATTTGACACAACACATTTAGTATACTTCCAAAACAACATTTTTATATTTATCACTAATTCATGATAAGGAAAATATTATTTTATTTATATTGCTTTCGTCTTGCAAGTATTTTAGTTAAGTTAATTAGTTTCTTACTTTATTTTCAATTATAAAAAAATACAAAAAGAATCAAACTTTCATTCCTACTCTAGCATCTTAAGTTTAAATAAAAAATATTGCTAAGTAAAATTTTGTTATCTAAAATTAGTCCTCCCTGTGGGAGCGCTATTCAAGACTTAATCAGAAAGTTCTAAATTACTTGATAACGATATGTATACTTGCATAGTATCCCATATTGAAATATTATAACTACATTCTTATTTGCTTCATAGTTAAAGATTTACCTAGCTCTTATTTTGGATCAAGTTTTTGGCTTTGTTGCAAATTAAAAATATATATTAAGGAAATTAATTGCATACATCGCATTTTACATCTATCTATATACAAAATTGGGATCACGCAGCAAATCCGATGGAAAGGACTGGTCGTTTATCGTCCATGATAACTGCGCCAATAGGACATCTAGTTAGTACTGAAGATGAGAGACTACTAGATGCACTCTTAAGAAGAACTCAAAGCAGAAATGTCAATCGCCGAAAGCACAAAGCTTTATTACGTGAAGAAAAAAGACACCAGAAAGAGGCAGAAAACTTACTTACCCCAATTCTTGAGGGGAAAAACTATGATCCTTGCATGAGAGAGACTTCCTCCAGTTTGCCTGCCATAAAGGATGAGTCTGAGTTTGCTACAGAGCCGACATTACCAGCAATTTCAGATGAGCTTTGTGTGGGTTTCCTGATGTGCAACACCTAGATCCCCAGACAGACACCAAACATAAGAGCATTTGTGGAATGCCCAGAATGTAATGTCCTCCACTTAGAGCATTATAGAGCTCTGGAGGAGTACACATCTAACAACAGTGGATTTTAAACTATCGGCCACTCCGTTGGGGAATCATACATCCCATTGGATACAGAGATAGGGCAAACATGGATTCTTGTGGATATTGAAATGATGGAGCAATTTTGATAGTCACAGAGGGTTACCATGGCAGAATTGGATAATATGAGCAAGGTAAAGAAGAGAGAAATTGAATTCTATGAAGAAATTTAGGGAAAATTTGTCAATATATTGGAAGGCCTGGAGCTGTACACCAGAGTCTTTTCTGAAAGTAAAGAAAGAAGCATTCTTGACTGTGTATTTGACCTAAGAGACAGAGGTTGAGCTGGTCTTCTGATGGAAAGAACTTATTAACTTATTCAGAAGATGGAAAGAACTTATTCAGAACCACGAAAGTGGATGTGCGGAAAAGGCAAGATAACCATCTAATGTGGTTGTTGATACAATTTTACCAGGGATAGGCAAGGGAACCCCCCGAGGATCTTAAGACATGACGAGGTGGATTCATTGCCTTCATTGCCTCCCACAATAAACTCCCACAATAAAGTGGATGATAAAAAGGATGGTCAGATGGAGAGTGTTGCAAGTGAATTGCATTCCAAACAGTTATATCATCAACATTTATGAGGAGGGAGACTGCATTCCAAAAATTACGAAGCTTTTATGCTAACTTCTGGAAAAAGATACAAAATTTGATTTCGACCAAGAGTGCCTTAAAGCCTCTGAAACATTGAAGGAAAAACTAATCACTTCTTCTATAATTATTTCACTTGATTGGGAGAAACCCTTAGAACTAATGTGTGATGCAAGTGATTATGCAATTGGAGCAGTTTTAGGGCAAATATTATTATGCTATTAAGACTCTTAATGATGCTCAAATTAATTACACTACTAATGAAAGGGAGTTATTAGCCATTGTTTATGATTTTGATAAGCTTAGGTCATATCTAATTAGAGCTAAATGTGTTGTGCATACTAACTAGTTGGTTATTAAATATATGAGGTAAAACAAGGATGTAAAACCAAGATTAATTAGATTGGTACTTTTGATGCAAGAATTTGATTTTATAGAATTCATTAGAAAAGGAACTGATAATCAAATTGTTGATCATCTATCAAGGCTGGAATAGGAAGAAACACTTGATTTTGAAAAAGAAATTAATGAAACTTTTTCTGATGAACAACTTTATGTTGTTAAAGGATGGGAAATACCGTGGTATGTTGATATTGTGAACATATTGTTAGTGATATTTTACCGTATGGACTGACAAAATAATAAGAAAAGAAATTCATTTATGATACAAAATTTTACTTTTGGGATGACCCATATTTGTACAAATAATGTAAAGATTTAGTTATGAGAAGATGCGTGTCTTATAAAGAAATTCAAGAAATTATCCAAAAATGTCAAGATTCTGAATTTGGAGGTCATTTTGGGAATGATAGAAATGTGCACAAAATTTTACAATCTGGATTTTATTGGCCTACTCTATTTAGATATGTTAATATATATATTAAAATGTGTGATCAGTATCAGAGAGTAGATAATATTTAAAAAAGAAATGAAATGCCTTTAAATTTTAATTTGGAAGTTGAAATTTTTGATGCAGGGGGATTAGACTTTTGGGACCATGTGTACCTTCATTTGAAAATGTATATATATTCATTGCAGTGGACTATGTGTCAAAATAGATTGAAGCAATTGCCTTACCTCGATGTGATGCTCAGAGTGTTTCAAAATTTTTAATCAAAAATATTTCTACAAGATATAGAATGCCGTAATCATTATTGATGGAGGATCTCATTTTAGGAATGCAAGAATTGCTAAGTTGGTGGAAAAATATGTTGACCTCACTTTTCATTCAGGTTTAGTTTCCTCTTTACTAGTGTAAGGTCAAGCCATAGGACTTTCCTATTGAATATTCTTAAAAGACTAGAAAATGAACCCTCACCATTAGAAATTCTAAACTCTTCTCTGCTCAACTTGAAGTTCCACATATTGGTCCTGACCTCTAGCACTTGGTAGGTGTGGTCAATATGAGGGAGCTCAATGTGAGTCCACATAGGACTGTTTGGTCTTAGGGTTGACCCTGGATGTTAGTCTGGAGCTAGTTCACTCACTTAAATTACTTTCACTAACATTCACTCACAACCCTAAACCCAAGCTTGTTAACTTTGATCCATTGATCTTTTGAGAGACTCATGTAAATGGTTCCCTAGACCCACTAGCCCTAGGCTAGGGTCTAGCCAAGACTAGTACATAGAGGACCCAAATGGAGATTCCATATTTTTTATTACAACCACCTTTCTTTTACCCACTAGTGAAGATTGTGTGAAAATTTTTAGTTGTTAAAATGCTATACTTAAAATTTGTATGAATAATATGTTATATTCAATATTTTGAGTGACCGATAACTAAAAATCCAAAATTTTATATTTAGCATTGCACTCTCAATCTAATTTCACATGAAAAAAAAGATTTACGTGTTATACAAGTAATGAAAATTTAAATGCGAGATATATAAATAGATAAATAATTATATGATATGCACATAAATTCTCCCACATGTAAATGGTATTTATGTAAATCCCTTTATTTTGAGTATTTATTGCAGGCCAAGCAGAGGCTGAAGAGCGGGAACAATAGCGATGGCGTCTCGCCTCCAACTCGGCGGCGACAACACAGTCCTCCTCAGGGTTACCCACTCCAACATTAAGAGTTTCTCTTCCGAAGTCCGTTTCGATCTGGAGGTAGATAAGCTCTGCCCTTTTCCAAGTTTTCCCTGCTTCGATTGCCCCTTCCTAAAATCCCAGATTCCCGATTTACCTCCAGATGTCCGTGGAGGATCTTAAAGAGAAACTCTGGAAGAAGTGCGGAACCTCGGTTGATTCCATGCTACTCGTGCTATACGACGACGCAGGCTCCAAGATCTGCAATATTAGCGACAGTGCGAGGCCATTAGGGTTTTACTCCCCATTAAACGGGTTCGTTGATTTCTTTTATTATGTAGAGTTTTTAGTTTTTTTGATAGATAGAAAAGGGATGCCGAAGGATACATAAAATAACAAGGATAACGGAAAGCAGTGAAACGTTGGTAGAGATGTGGCTATAGATACAGAAAAAAAGTGACAGGCATTTGATAGAAGTTTTTTACTATTTGTGGAGATGTTTAGGAGGTTCTCGTTGTTGCTTCAATCTCAGCCAATGGGTTTTGACTAAAGATTCGTGTGGTTTGCATGGCATGAGTGTTTAGAACTTGTTGGTGTCAGTGTGCATTGTGTCATTTGCTGAGTACTCAAAATCATTGTCCTGGTGTGTACCGTGTTGCTGTTTTTTGGCTTGAGATCTTATTGGTGTTTACATACAAGAGTAGTCTTTGTTTAGCTGTACTATCTGGGAACTTTTGTTTATGAGCTTTGTGTGTTTTTAGTTCTTGGTGGTTAAGGGCTCAGAGTGTTCATTCATGTAATTGGATGGTGTTTCTTTGTTCTCTTGTATTTCTATTTGTGGTTTGTAGAACCTTAGGGTTGGTGAATTACAGGAAGGCCATCTAGAGGTGCACTCCAGATTGCTGCATAAGGCATAAGGTTCATTGTGAAATATATGACGTTAACTTTTGAATATGTGATATTGGTCGTGGTGGTAGCAAAGGTAGAATTGGATCTTGGACATCTCATATGTTGATGATAATAAGAAGCTACCTACCCGTGAAAGGATCTGGTTCTTTGGATCAAGCCATCTCCAATCATCACGCCGTCACGAAAGATAGCATTTTGATTGAGGGCCACATGATAGTCTCGTATTGATAAAAACGGTACAATAGAGTCAAACCGAGCAAATGGTTTAGTAGGAAAAATATTGGAGGTTATGTGAAACCATGCATCTCCATCTTAAAATGATGGTGAATAACCACAATAATTGAGGTTTTTTTAGTCTTTCTCAACAACCACCTTAATCTCTTGTAGTGGAATCGATTTAGCATTGGGCATGATCTCATGCTCCAATGCAAGCACTAGATTAAAATCCATTTGATTTTCCTCTTGATGAGTTAAGTCGCCATTAAATATTACCTCATCATTGTAATATTCAATTGGTCTAGTCCAAAAAGCAAGTCAATCTAGAAGATGCTTTCATGGAACTTTGGGCTCAACCTCATATGTAAAGTTAGGTAGTTGTTTTGGTGCATCCTTTGGCTGGTTTGGTGAGTTCTTATGCTAAGCAGGTGGTGCAACATTTATAGATGAGAAATTGGTAGCTTGTGATTAGCTAGTGCTATTTAATATCAATAAATTAAACATTTGGATGATTTTATCAAATTTAAAGTTAATTTCACTAATTAATAGTGGTAAGTTTTCATCCATATTTTTCTATTCTATAAGTGGCAAAGTAGATCCAATGCTGCTTTTTTATCATCAAGGCGAGATAAATGAATGAAAAAGGTTCTGCTAATTGGATAATAAGGGAAGATATTTGATTCACTCGTTCATATGGAGTGAATAAATTTTAATATCTTTAAATATTTGGCATTAACTGTGACAGGATTGGATGGAGCAATGTTGGGATATTTAATCGAGATATGTATGAATGCGACTTTTATTTGCATTGTCTCAATAATTAATTGAAATTTATTTGGTACTTCCAAGCCAATAAGGTGAGGGAAATTATAATAAATTGGGATTGGGTTGGGTGATTGGTTCTTCTAGGTTCTTGTGGGTGACTATAATTGGATCACCACTCACTTAAACTAGGGGTAGGGCTGACTAGGAATTTGGTCTCGGGGTGTTTTAAGTTTGCTTGAAGGTTGTGGTTTCATCGACTTGTGCGAGATTCTTGTGAGTATGCTGTTACATTCACAAAAGTGCTCAACATAAGAGTTAGAGGCATGAATATTATAAGCACAACAACAAATCGCTGGATTTAAAATAATGAGAAAGATATAACTAAAATACTAAAGAGTGGTAAAATTTAGTTAGAATACAGTGGATGCTCGAGTAGGTTTGTATTTTGGGTTTTTGCTAGCCTTTTGGAAGATCTAGTTTGGTTTATTTTAGGGTAAAAATTTGATATAGGGTTGCAAAAATTATAGATTTTTAATGAGAGCTAGTTGTATGCTCTGATTGAGGTGGGTTATTGTGGTGAAAATCAAACTTATTAAATAATGAACAATAAAATCATGATTGCACAGAATCTTCAATTAGAAGTCTTAAAAGATGAATAATTATGGAGAGAGAAATCTATAGGATCAAAGCAATGGTGGAATCGCTTACAAGCAAATGATTGCATGTTTATGAATCATCATTGTTCGCTTTGGAACGATATGTTACGATGTGGAAGCCCTACTTCTTGATCTTCTCCTTTTCTCTTGCTTGGCTGAAAACATCAAACAGGTCTGGAATTGTGAGGGTACGCTTGTACTTAAAATATGAAGGAGAAAGATGGTATAAAGTTAAAAGAGATGGTTCTCAAAGAGGATGAGAGATGCCAAACATCCCAATGATTTGGAGAGGAGGTGGAAATGGGAGAGTTGTAGGGCTAGAGCGCCTTCATGTTGTTAGTGAATCTTACAGAACTTTGGATTTCATTATGAAGGTTGGATGTTTGGACTCTTTCACATGATGATTATAGGCCTATCACAATGTCTATCATAAGAATTTAATGACCATATTCAAATGGTTATGTATATATAATTAATTATATCTGTGTGGACTTAAGATGATTATTGTTGTATTGTTGAATGTGCAGTAATCTTGTATGGTTTGGGTTGTCTTTGTTTTCTAATTTATTTAAGGGTTGTAAGAAAGTGTCTCAAATCTTCATTCAGCTTGGGTGCATTAATTTATAACATGTTGTGAGATGACAATGAAAATAAATCAAGGCTACTCAATTTGGGATTGACGCAAATGATCTCTGGCTTTCTCTCTATTGACTCCAAATTTTGTGGGGATTCACATGGGGACTGTTACACTTCAATGCTAGAGGCTAGAGAAGGCCAAGGTTGATAATAAATCATAAACCCCATCCAAGAAGCCAAGTCAGCCCACTTTGCTCAAAAGAAGGAATGATCTCCACTTCACCAAGCAACCATCCACCCACCTACTTGACGGAACCACTTTAATTCCTTTGAGATTTTAACTTTTTCCTGAAAAAGTTATATAAAGGATGTTTAAAAACATTTCTTTTTCTATAAGGATCAATTATCAAAGATTTAAAAAAAATTGAAATGTTCTTCAAATATTTTTCTAGCTCTTTGGCTCTCCAAATTTTACCATCCGTGATGGGTTGGGTAATTTCATTTTTGTTCTTGGATTTTGTATTTGTACTCATCTCTCAAAGCCCTCATCATAAAGGACACATACAAAATTGGCCTAATTAGGTCATGCATGACCTAACATTCATATTGCTCTCATTTCTCAGCTTTAATTCCCTCGGACAATTTCCATAAACTCCAAATGTAATCTTAAAACATTCACATGCCACTTCGAAGTATTTCTAAGGCCTAGAGATCACCTATTGATCAAGTTCTTATTTCATACCCTATCTTAGTGCTCTTGGACAATGGAGGCTTACTCAATTTGGCCGACTCTCATCGCTCCACAACCACCTATACGCCTCATTACTGTCATTCCTAGAGTTCCTAAGACCAAAAGAACACTCTTTATTGCAAGCATAAGCACTTGAAATAATGAAATCTAAGTCTCTTGTCATTTTGGTTTGAGCCAAAACTTCAATATAAAAAATTTGGAGAGAACTTGAAGGCAACCATAATTATTAGGTAAGGTTGGTGTGAAAAAGAAAATGGCGTTGGTTTTTGTGCCAACTGTAAAGCCTAAGACCTCCCAAATTTTATTTCCTTTTTTCTCTTACTCCATTCATCACGGCCTTCTTTGACGAGATTTTATATGCCTTGAGGAATTTTTTAAGTTTTTTCAATGTAATTTTTTAAGATTTTTCAATGTAAATCTCATATTGATGAAGGAAACTCCAGTTATTTTGAGAGAAGATAATTAACAAATGAAAAGTGGCATAATACAATGAGCCATTATTCTACAGCATTCACAACTAAATTGTCTACATAATCTCACTTTGATTCCGACATGTGAAACGACACCATTTGCCTCTTTTGCAATTGTACTCCCTCCGCAAGGTCTTAAAGTTCTAGTAGATGTTCTAATACAAAATGCTTCCATAATATTTTAACCTACACCCTGCAAGAGATAAGATTATTTTACTGGAAGTTGAGACCATATTGCCTTTTCTTCCAACAACAATGTTCATAACTCAACTGGTTTGTGTTCTTAAAAGCGGAGTATAATTAATGCAGGACTAGAGCGCCTTCATGTTGTGGGTGTATCTTAAAGGACTTTGATTTCACTACAAAGTTTGGGTGGTTGGCCCTCCCCTGCAGGATAAAATCATGAGGATCATAGGTGTATCACAAGGTATATGATAAGGGCTTAAAAAAAAGATTTAGGTGGGTTATGTGTGTGTAATTATTCATTTCATGTATTGTGGAATTTATGTTAATTATTGTTGTACAGTTGCATACATGGTTATATTGTATATTTTGGGTTGTTTTTGTATTTTGAATTATACAAGGGTTATAAGAATGTTTGGAGTCCTTAGCATAGCTAGGGCACATTAATTTATCACATGGGGAAGGGTGATACAATGAAAACAATGAAGATTTGTTAATTTGGGAGTCAACAATCAATGCTCACTTTATTGACTCCCAAATTGGTTGGGATCCACATTAGACTTTCTTCACTTCAATTACAGGATCTTGGGATGGCCAATAGTGGTTACAAACCATCACCCACCATTGATGATGCTAAGTTTGTCCACACTTCTCAAGAGAAGGGATGGCATCTACATTAAGCAACTACTTAATAAGCTCTTGCATTTAAGAAACTACTCCAATTCTATAGGGAATTCAAAATTTTTAGTGGAAAAAAGTATATTAAGGTTGTTGAAAAATGTTTTTTCTTTTATTGTATGAATGAATTATTGAAGATTAAAAAAATCTTGCTTTTTGGCTTGGCTGTCGATTTTTTCTAGTTTGGTGGTTTAGTTGAGTTTCATTGTTATTGCTCTTGAATTTTGTGTTTATACTTCATCTCCTACCTCTTTATCTTATCCCCACTATATTTATGAAGTAATCAATTCACTCTATAAAAAAAATCAAGAGAAATAAGGATGCATACAAAATTGGCTACACTAGGTATGACCTTCTTTTGATATTGCCATCATTTCTCAACCCTTTTGTCCTTGGAAAATTCCCATAAACTACGAAACTAAACTTCAAACATCCACACATTGCTTCCAAATGTTTAAAAGGTATGGAATTCACCTTTTTATCAAGCCCTAATTCTTTGAACCATGCCCTTGTGTTTTCGGCTAAAAACAGGCTTACCCTAATTTTTTGACTCTAACCACTCCATTGTCACTCATTCACCCCACTAGTCTCAATCCTAGATTCCTAAAACCGGAAGGACACTCTGTAATAAAAGCATAAGCCTTTGGAACAATAAGATCCACGGCTCCATTAGGGATAAATCTTGTTGTCTACTCTAGAGGATCATCACACATAAGAAGGTAGCCATTTTGTTTACTTCCAATTCTTCAATAAAACTTCAATTTCTTATGCAGTATCAAGGCACATTTTACATCGTAGATGGCCCTTGATACATATTAAAAATGCTTAAAACTAGCAAAATGAGTTATGCTGTATCTTCATTATTTATTTAATGCACATAATTAAGGCGTGTAGAAACTAAATGGATGTATGATAATAATTTACAAGAATAAAAATAATAGCGATGATTATTTTGCATGACCTTCCCTTGACAGCTCAATAGCATTTGTTTTTATCAAGTCTATTTTGTTATTACTTGCTAATGATACCTCTTTTGCTTTTCTTTTGCAAAATTTTCACACCATTATGTATTTTTTTTAAGGTACCATATCAAGGTTATTGATTTAGATCCTTCATCAGTTAGCTCTGGTGGCTGGCTAGAAGACACTTCATTGGTTGAGAAGTATACAATATCTGAAGAAGCTTATAATAAACGTGATTGTAAGTCCCTTGAATTTATAATATGAGTAATTTGCCTAGATTCTCCGTCACTGTTTTAAAATTAGTCTTTTTGGTGATTATTATTTGAAGGATTCTTCAAAACATTACTTGTTGGGGGCAACTAGAAGCGCACATATGGCAGTGTTGATCCCTCATCCCCGTCTTATGCTTATCTAACGTCTGCTTGTTCACTCGTTCACCTTAAAAAAATAGTAAATTAAAAACCTTTGTAGTAACGGCTGGATTTATCAGTGATCTTGGATATTTTTAATAAGTAATAAGCCAATCAAATCTTCACAAAAATATGGATAAGGTGATAGATGCATATATTGAGAGGGAGGGGTGATTAGTTAATATGGTTGATTTTTTACTGAAGTGATTTGATAAGAACTATGGAGCTTTTAAGATTGCATGCTGTCGGCCGTTAAATTGAGAAACAATTATTTGATTTAATATAATATAGTTTATAGTTTTGAAATGTAATTGTTTAATTTTGAAAATACGAGACCGAATCAATCTCATGTAGACGATAATTTAAATAAACGAGCACAACACTGCAAGTGACATATCTATCCCGAGAAATAGACATATCACTTATCCGTGAAACTCGATCAAATAAACTAGAGAATTTATGACATCCGTTTTAGTCTGCGAATTCCCTATAGAGGCAAACTTCTATAGTTAATTACCTCTCAAATGACTGAAGTCACTTAAGAGAACTCTCGATGATGATCAGAGGTATCTATATCATCAGAGGTATCTATTTTCATGAATTCAAAGTTTAGGGTTTCCAAAGTTGGACATAGAAAAGTCAAGTGGGGAAAGATAGTAAATGAGAACATTTATTTCTGTAATCAAAGAAAAGAAAAGTATGAGACGTCATAGATCCTAATGGGAACCTCGGTGACTTCCCAAACTATCCTATTGTATGACTTTAATTTCGAGAAGATGCTATTTGATGTTTTATCCTGCATGTTTTATTATTTAGGATTTATGTTTATGTGACACGGTCATACAAATGACCTGGAAGATAGGAGGGTTTATATCGTATTGGACGACGATCTCGGAACATAAAGCGAGTTAGAGCTTAAATTACACTACATTGTTGTGCAAATGCCTAAACGATAAAGTGAGGATTTATGTCGCTCTAGGCAGACTACCTCAAAGTCCTATGGTTTGTTATTTTAATTCTAAGGAAACGTTTGCTGTTGTAGATCTGTTTGCTCTCTCGAAGTTGTTCTTCTGTACGTCCTCATTGTGCTGCCCACGGTGTTAGTTCTAAGCTCCATGTTGTAGCACTTTAAGGTTTAATGTTATGTTTAAATGTACATGTAACTGTTGGGTCGGTGGTTTGCTGCTGGGTACCTCCTATTAAACCAGACTTTTGTCCTCCTATTCTAAAATGTATAATACGCATAAAGGAGACAGTAACATGGTGCAGTAAAGAAAAGCAGGAATAAAGGAAATGCAATAAATGTACAGTAAAGAAGAGCAGTAGAATCTACAGTAATGGACCAAAAATGGAAGAAGAGTAGTAAAGTAACACCAAAAATGTAATTTCTGCTAGTAAAGTAACACCAAAAATGGAAGAAGAGTAGGGAGAGGGCTTACCTTACTCGGGTGACCTAAAAGAAAGAACATAGGAACAAGCTACGAGGCTCCAAGAGCAAGCAAACACCAACCCAATGAGAATTTTGGCAGCACCTCCCCCTCTCTCAATTTTTTGCTAACCCTAAAACCCTTCCCCAAGAGGGGTTTATCTAGCCAAGGAAGGGAGGAGAGGAAATACCATGACTTGTCGGAGGGGTGAGCCCAACCAAAAGAGACAGGCGAGAAACAACAAGCTTCGCAGGGAGCGTGGCGAGGGGAAAGCCGGAGCGCGAAAGGGAGTAGGTGGAGGCAGGTGGAAGCTTTACCAGAGCACGAGGAGGGGACCTGAGGTCGAACCTTCGCGAGGAGAAGAGAGGGAGTTCGGTCGGGCTAGGGTTTTGCTTGGGAAGCAAGGGCGAGCCGCGTCTGGTCGTGAACGGGAGAAAGCGGGGATGGATGGGGTGTGAGTTTATTAGGGATTTAATAAAATGAATTTTCTTTTTTTTATTTCACTCATTTTTTTAAACATTTCATTTAAAATTCGCCGATTCAGACACAATTCGACCCTGCACGAAACCATATCAAAATGAATCTCTCTCGACTAAAGTCGACGTTTTGGACTCGTCGACGCAGTCCGTTTCGTCATCCGGGGCCGTTTGGACAATCTTGTCAATGATCGGGTAAAAAACACATCAAATTCAATTTTCGTCGAAATTTCGAGTTCGTGATCGATCGTTTTAGAAATTAATTTAGATTTCGATTAATTATGCAACATATAAAGATGTAGGTGACGTGAATTGCAATATTAACGCGTCGATTGTCCGAATTATAAAGTTTGTGCGCGCGAATGTGCAAATTGTGCATTAGGCAATCCTAGGGCTTAATGATTCTATAGGGACTCCTTTTGAGTTTTCTTATGTTGGTTTCAACTTTCTATGTGCTAGAGGCTAAGACCACACATGCAAAACTCTAAAAGGATAAATAAGTAGTTTGGACTTTTAAAATGAGGTGGGTTTCATTTCTAAGGCTCTAAGATAGTCAAAGAGAGAATCCTTAGGCTAACCTTTTACCCTAAGAAGAAAACTAGACCTCGCTAAAAATGAGATCAACAAATAACCCCCAATAGGTGTGGTGTGCCGGACAAGCACACTGCGTGTATTGGTGCCGACCGAAGAGATCAACAAAACCAACACAGATGTCTAAGCCAACATACTTAGAACAAAGCGTAGAATAAAGTGAGAATCATTTTCACGGGAAATTAACAAGTGAATTTTCAGTTTAGAGCTGTGAATTTGAGTTTTCAAATTTCAAATGTGGATTCAAATTTGCTTTTTTTTTCTTTTGATTTTGATTTCAATTTTGGATTTGAATTTCAATTTTGATTTCAATTTGAATCTGGATTTTGGGGAAAAAACATGTGAAAATTTGCAGAATTTTAAGGAATCGGACGACCTTGCATCGACCCTAGAATTTCGTGGAATTGGAAAACTTATGGAATGGATGCAGAAACTTAAGGAATTTAAAGAAATTAGATGACTTTGCACCGACCATGGAATTTTGTGGAATTTAAAGGAATCAGACGACCTTGCACCGACCCTGAAATTTTGTGGAATTTGAAGGAATCAGACGACCTTGCGCCGACCCTGGAATTTGATTTGAAAGATTGTGATAGGAGGTGCTCCTAAAGCAACGCAGAATCAGATATAAAATCCTTAACCTCTGGAATTTCGTGGAATTTAAAGGAATCGGTCGACCTTGCACCGACCCTGGAATTTCGTGAAATTTAAAGGAATCGAACGACCTTACACCGGCCTTGGAATTTTATTTGAAAGATTGTGATAGGAGGGGCTCCTAAGGCAACACGGAATTGGATGTAAAATCCTCAACATTTGGAATTTCGTGGAATTTAAAGGAATCAGGCGACCTTACACTGACCCTGAAATTTCGTGGAATTTAAAGGAATCAGACGATCTTGCACCTACCCTGAAATTTCGTGAAATTTAAAGGAATCAGACGTTCTTGCACATATCCTGAAATTTCATGAAATTTAAAGGAATCGGACGAGCTTGCACCAACCCTGGAGTGTCGTGGAATTTAAAGGAATCGTATGACCTTGCATCGACCTTGGAATTTGATTTGAAAGATTGCGATAGGAAGGGTTCTTAAAATAACATGAAATTGTATGTAAAATACTCAACATCTGAAATTTCGTGAAATTTAAAAGAAACGGACGACCTTGCACCGACCCTGGAGTTTCGTGAAATTTAATGGAATCAGACGACCTTGTACCAACCCTGAAATTTCGTGGAATTTAATGGAATCAGATGACCTTGCACTGGCCCTAGAGTTTCGTGGAATTTAAAGGAAACAGACGACCTTACATCGACCATGTAATTTGATTTGAAAGATTGCGATAGAAGAGACTCCTAAAGCAACACAGAATCAGATGTAAAAATCCTCAACTTCTGGAATTTAATTTGAAAGATTGCGATAGGAGGACATCCAAAAACAACGCGGAATTGGATGTAAAATCCTCAACCCCAGGAATAAAGTGTGAGTCCTTGTGATAGAAATGACTCCTAAAACATGTAGTATCAGATGCCATGATCCTCAACCTTTAATAGTTGATATGAATCATTGCAAAACAATGCGAAATTGGATGTAAAATCCTTATCCTCTAAAATATAATATGAACTATTTCAAAGCAATGCGAAATCAAATGTAAAATCTTCATCCTCTAGAATTTGAGGAAAGAAGATTGAAAGGAAATTGACAATGGCACCGGGTTGAGGAAACTCAACCTGGTAACGAGTCAGGTGAAAGATTTAGATTTCAAATTTGTTTGTTGATTTCCTTGTTCTGATTTTTTTTTTATTTTGATGAATTCCCTTTCGTTGTTATTTGTTTGTTGTCATTCGTTGGTAAATTTATTGTTTATTTGTTTTGAAATTTTGTTGTATTTATTTATTTTTTTGTTTTATGACTTTTTTGTTGTATTTATTTGTTTAGTTAGGATTTAGACCCAGTTTCAGGCAAGTGAGTCATTTGTGCTTTGTAGAATGAGTCATTGTCTCTGAAACATCACGAGGTATAGTACTTCTTGAAGTATCGTCCACTAACTAAAGACAAGTGTTAGAGAATAACCCACTCTTTAAGGTGCTATCAGAATTATATTTTTTCAAGTACCTATAATGATGTGTTATCTCAAAGGGCACCACAGCTGGAGAGTTCGCAATCTCGTAGCTTCGTTTGTAATAGTTGTCATTTGCTTTGACATTAATTCTGTAAAGGTTGTTCAAGTTGTCTTTGAGAAATCGCTCTGACGTTTTTCGAATTGTCGTTGTAGTTGTATTTGGTGGGCGTTGAAAGATATTACTTCAAAGTTAAATTTCCATTAAGTGCTAATATCA